GTCACCCCCTGGGTTTGCTGACCCACAACTGCCACCCTGTGGTACCCAGCAGACTGGGCTTCCCAGCCATTCTGTGCATGCCTGAACCTCTGGAGCAGCATCATATGGGCAGCAACACATCTTCCAGCATGGGACCCCCTGCCTGCTGCCATATTCCCGTGCCTCTGCTGGGGCAGCTGCTGACCTGCTGGGTTTTTCAAAGGGAAGATGTTTCTCTTGCACTGTGAGATGGCAACTGGCTCCAGCATTGGGCTAGTTGTGTTCTCCCCCAAAGGCTGCTGAGCTTTCTCCCTTACCATCCCTTGTCCCTGCTTCTGGTCACATCCACTCTCCCATGGTGACACACAGGCTCCCCAGTCCTGCCCTACATGTGCCCCAAACCAGAGGGCTTGTCTGATACTGGCATCAGAGGCTTGACCTCTTAAAAAAACCCCATGCAGGAGGGTGCTGAGCAGAGCTGGACACACCCCAGTATTTGCTCAGGCTGTGCAGGGTCCTGTCACCACATGTGGCACTGGCATTTGGGCATAAGCTAGCCCAGTCCTCATGCCACCCCAGCTCCATCCTCTGGCAGCACCTGAAGGAAGGAGGAAGTGATCATAGGTAGGTGGACCTCTTTCTTCTTATCCCAGCCCCTCCAGGGTTTGGACACAGCTTTAGGACCACCACCACTTCAGATGCATGCTCCCTCCATCCCCCTTGGTACCTGGATCACAAGTTTGGGCAGCTCCTACTCTCGAGCACCCACAGCCAGCAGGTCCATTGTTTGATGCCATGCCCTGCCCTGCCAAAGCCTCTTTTCTTTTAGGCACCTTCCCAGCTGTTCGCATGCTGTCCTTGCCAAGGAGGTGGAAGGAAGAGGGCAGAGAATTGGGTCCCCCTGCTCCCCCCAACCAGCGGCATTTCCTGCTCCCTCAGTGCCCCCTGGTGCTGCTCAGCAGCCGAACCCTGGCTGTGCCCCCCAGGGCAGTGACTTGCTGCTTACTCACCACACCCTCATGGGCCTCCTGCTCAGTTTTCCACACCCGGCTGCCCTGGTTAGCGGCAGCACCCACGCATTGCCCCAGGTGAGGGGCCCGGGTACCTGCCACACGCCTCTGTGGGTTGAAGGGAAAGCTGGATGGGTGAAAATTTGTGTGTATGTGTCCCTTGTCCTGTTTGCACAGCTTAGAAAGAGACAGATTCCCTCCAGGTTAGACTTCCTTGTAGGGCTGTAGCTGAGTGAGACATCATTGTATGCGGCGTGCAGTGACCTGTCCCCTTGGGGATGGAGCTCAGTTCTCCAGGGCTGGCATCCTGTGGCTCTTATCTCTCCAAGCAGGTGGAGAAGTACCTGTGGGCTCAGATTGAGGAGCTGGGTACCCTGGCAGGCTGAATCCCCCTCCTGAAGGCATCAAGAGGCTGGGATAGAGACCAGAAGATGAGGCAAGCGATGCCCTTACTACCCGCACAGCAGGGTCCCCCTGTCACATGGGAGTGACCAGGCAGCAGTGCTCAATGGGTGCAGACCAGGCAGGTCCGACATGGAGCTGTAATGGCACAACCACTGCTCTCCCTCGGGGTTTCAGAGCCATCAGGACCAATGGAGGTATTTTTCCACTCAAGCTGTGGGTGACGCTTTTGAAGGCTGACCATCCTCTTCCTCACTGTGTGGTTCTGCCAGCCCCTCTCCATTGGCTCCCTACAAACCAAGACCCAACTTGTTCCCCTAAATCACAGTCTGCTGTCAGGGTTCAGGAGAAGCCTTGCTCCACACCATCTCCATACCCAGGGGGAAGATGGTGACTTGAGACAGGTGCCTTGGTCTGTGATTTTCTCCGGGAATGAGACTGGGACATACTGGAGACTCCACGACCGAGAGCTAAGCCAGAAAAAGCTGGCGATTATGGCTCTTAGGAGCCCCTGGTTCTGTTGCAGCAGGGTCAGCAACCAGAACATGGGGGTTGCATCAGAAGCCCCAGTGACTCCAATTTGGCATGTGTCACTGGGACTGGGCTCAGGCTGCGGCTGTGGCTGGTAAAGGGGTGACAGCAGCAGGTTGGCCACAGGTTGCAGCTTCTTTTTTGTGCCTCAGTTTCCCCTTTAGCAGTGGGGGTTGTTTCCCTTGCACAAGGATGCTGGGAATCAGGCTGGAAAGTGGAGCTCATCATCCTGTCTTCTGGGGCAAAGCAGCAGCCACCCGGCAACAGTTCTGGCAGCCAGTGAAGGGCGCTGGGGGCAGGCAGGAATGATGCTGCTGAGGTGCTGAGCCTGGATGGAGGCTGCCAGGCGGGAGGCAGCAGGGGCCGGGGTGCCCCGGGCAAGTTGGGGGGAGCCAGGCTGGCGACCCTGTTCCTTCACCAGGGCAGGGGCCTGGCGGCAGAGGTGGGGCACCTTAATTGTAGATGCGGGAGGCCTTGGAGCAGGACAAGCTCAGGCAGATCTGGGCCTTGCACCAGAGCCCTTGCCAAAGTGGTAGCAGTTTGGCAGCATTTTTCTTGCCCTTGTCTCCCCCCATTCTCCCCCCGCACCCGAACCCTCCAAAGCAAAACAGCTCTTGGGCTCCCGGCAGCCTGCCTGAGCCAGAAAGTGGAGCCCAGCGGAAATTAATATTGTGCTGGACTTAGGCAGCCCACCCCACGCCTCGTCGGCATGGACAGCAAGATCCCTC